CGTTCTTACGAATTGGTGACAGTCCATAAATGAGGTGATGCCGCCCTGGAAGATGGCTGAGCTTTTGTTCCCTTTCTTGATTCGTAGAACGATCTCGCTTCCCTATGCTTACCAGTGCTGCGCCTTCACTGGATGCGAAAGCGTCCTGAGCGCGACCGCGGAGGATGAAGGGAAGACGGGCGTCAGCATCAATGCCGACAGTAAGGCGTCGATTTATATAAATAGTGTTTAAAATTGCAGTAGGTAGCATACGGCTAACTGGCTAATCACTAACATACATTTAGGTAGCCGAAGTAGCGTGATACCTTTACCAGACAGGTGGTTCCCTTCGAGTGTGAAGCACAAAGCCATGTGAATGGAGGGTACAGATTGTGCTGTGCTGTCTTTCTGAAGGTGCTGAGGAGGAAGAGAGGATCCCGCTTCCCCTGCATTGCTCTCCTTCCCCAGGTGACCTCCTCTATCCTCTGTCCTATTTATATTTCATCATCTTAATCTTCCCACCTACATGTCCATTTTTAGCTGAATCTTTAGCTGATTTTGCCCATTTGTGCAGGTGGGTATTTTTTTCAGAACATTCTGGCCACTTTGTTCAAGGTTACTGCATCAAGGCCCCGTTGTGACCTACTGGTTTTGCTTATGTGTCTTCAACCACTACGCCATCTAGTGGCCTGATGTTTGTTTTTATGTGGTTCTAAGGAGGATTACAGGGAATAATCGGGGGGGTATTTCTGAGGAGTGCATTGGGGGGAGGCGGCAGAAGCTAAGATGTGACCGTTTGCAGGGGCCTTCAAGCCGTGCGAGTACTTGCTGGGCAGCTGGATGATCCGGCTCACAGTGTGGTTCATCTGCCTGGTGGCGCTCCTGTGCAACACCCTGGTTCTGGCCGCCACCTTCTCCGGGGGCAGGACGCCATCTCCCGCCAAACTGCTGCTGGGACTGCTGGCGGCCGCCAACCTGCTACTGGGGATCTACGTGGGCTTGCTGGCCACACTGGACGGCGCTACCTGGGGCGTCTTCGGTCACTTCGGCGTGCGCTGGGAGACGGGGCCGGGCTGCCGTGCCGCCGGCTTCCTGGCCATCTTCTCCTCGGAAGCCGGCGTGCTGCTGCTGGCACTGGCCGCAGTGGAGCGCAGTGTGGCAGTGCGGCTGCTACTCCGCAAGGGCCCACGGCGCCGCCGCTATGGCCGCGTGCACCTGGCGGCCGCCCTGCTGGCGATGCTGGCCGGGGCGGCGGCCTGCCTGCCCCTCTTCCATGTGGGCGAGTTCTCCGCATCGCCGCTCTGCCTCCCCTTCTCCGCCAGCGATACGGCCTCACTGGGCTTCACCGTTGCCTTGGTGCTGCTCAACTCGCTGGCCTACCTGCTGATGGCCGTGGTCTACACCCACCTGTACTGCGGCCTGGGCAAGAGCCACCTGCTGGAGCCCTTCCAGGCCAGCATGGTCCGGCACGTGGCCTGGCTCATCTTCACCAACTGCCTCTTCTTCTGCCCGGTGGCCGCCTTCTCCTTCGCTCCGCTCCTCACCGGCGTCGCCAACAGCCCAGAGATCATGAAGTCGGTGACGCTCATCTTCTTCCCACTGCCCGCCTGCCTCAACCCCGTGCTCTACATCTTCTTCAACCCGTACTTCAGGGAGGACTGGCGCCGACTACGGGGCCGCTCCTCCGCGAGGGCCGAGGCTGCGGGGCCGGGGCCGGTGCGGAGGGCCACGCAGGACGAGGGCTCCGGGGCCAGCCACGGCGTAGCCTGCGAGTGCGGCCTGTACTCAGAGCTGCAGGCCGGCCTGGCCCTGTGTGACTGCTGCGAGTCCGTGCTGCTCTCCGCTCCCCCCATCTGCAAACACTTGATCCGCTCCCACAGCTGTCCAGCACTGGCCGGGGGGCCTGGCCCACGGACCGAGGGCTACTGGGTGGACTGTGGCACCCCATCGGCCCAGTCCGAGTATGCCGACGAGGGCGACTCATTTGTGTCCGACAGCTCCGACCAGGTGCAGGCCTGCGGCCGGGCCTGTTTCTATAAGAGCCGTGGATTCCCCCTCGTCCATTACTCTTACAACATCCCCTGCATTAAGGACTGAGGCCGGACAGGTGTGCAGGACAGTCCTGCAAGTTTCCTCCTTTACACAAACCCATTCAGGAAGCACTTTTCCAATCTCTGAGTGACTGGAGACCCGCCTCTCAAGAAGGGAAATACGGCAATACAGGAACCTCTCGAGCCATGGATCTTCGCTAAATACTTCTGATTCTCTTATGCTTTATCCAAGTCGATTGATGACGATTCTGCTAAGGTTTCAGCAGAAATAACTCGATTCCATGTGGCCAATATTTGGAATGAAAAAAATGTTCGAAAACAATGTAACACCACATGTTTTAAATCAAGGGGAGCTAAACGTATATAAAATAGCTAGTGAACATGCTTTACCGATGAGAACTGTTTCGTTTTATCTACAGGAAAGTGCTGGAGGTCTCTCTTCTCTGCCAAAGACCTCCTCTGTACCATTCCTAATGGTGCAATAGCAATCATCTATTGTTGTGATTTCTGCTTCAGACAAAATGCCAAATAGGTCGTTCTTTTCCTCTGTTAAAGGAAATCCAGCTGTAGCGTGCAGACTTGATGAGGCCAAGACTGACAACAGCAATGTAATGGAAAAAAGATCATGCTTTTTGTAGCTTGTTGACAATCAGATTTATGACTTGGTGTTTTATCATCACTAATTTCTTAACCTCAAGATGTAATTAGTTGTTATGCCTGTATTAATGGGCACTTGGTAGTGAAACAGGGTTTATTGTGACGCATCGATATCGAACTCCTAAAAGGGGGCACGCCGCCCTCAGGTGGGCATCTGAACAGCGGGCAGGACACCATTCATGGGTGAGTCACCCAACTCATTACACCTGTTATGGTCAGATTTGGTCGTATTTTTATCCACTTTTGGGACTTCAAGTTTTCAAGTTTCCCATTTCCAGAAAGACCATAGGAAGACTATATATATATTCCACCGAAATCCTAAGCATTTTGGTCAGTAGTACTACATATGTTTAGTCCACAGTCTACCTGATGTGTGGCTGACACAAGCCTGGCATTTAATCTGTTACCTCAGATTGCAGAAGTGAGTGTGACTGTTTCAGTAAAACGGACAATCTACATTTTTTGTTTTAGGAAAATTAAACTTGCGAAATGTCACGAGTGTTGCAAATGTGCTTATTCCATTTACAAGTGTTTTAAGTGATTCAGTACATGTTGGCATTGTCTGTGTGTGCAATTTTTATTCTGATTCCAGTATGTTAGACTAATAAGGAACTCAAAAAATAACGATTCTGTGGCAAGAACTGCCCTGAAATGATCAGTGAGAATGTGTTCTGATTGTTTTTTTGTTTTTTTTTTTAACTTTAATGCATACAATACATCATGATTTTATGTGATTTACCCCCATAACAAGGATCTTCTCTGCTGGGATCTGAGTGCTGCTGTATCTACAGCAGCAATGTGCTTTGAAACTGCATAGCTGGTAATGATGACCATTAAGCAGCAGGTGGCAGTGCAGGAAAGTTAAGAAGTTAGAGTAAAAAAAAAAACCCCGAGTGACTTGATGTGACCTTGACTTCTGCAGTTAACCTATATACCAAACATATACACAGGGTGTAAACAGAACAGAACAGAACAGAAAAGGTTTCCAAAACAACCCAGATCAGGCCCGAGTTCCTCCTCCATGTTGATGTCTCCTTTTTGCTCACAGACAGTATGGTACTGTGGTGTGTCATGCAATTGCTGTTTCTGTTTTACTTATCTGGGTAATGTGAAAATTTAAAAAAGGCCTGCATACACACATACCCAAACAGCATAACCATAAATGGTAAGACCTTCAGATCATTTACAGGTTTAAATACAGAGCAGCAGTTTTCAGATGGAATGAGGCTGGGTTTTCTGTCTTTTCTTTTGGAATACATTCAACATTTTGTGGGGGACATTTTTGAGGGTGTTGTGCATATTATTGGCCAGTCATAAGAAAGCAAGGCAATTGTTAGCTGACTTTTTTTTTTTAGTCATGGTGGACTATTATATGAATTAAAGTGAATTAATAAAGGAATCATGTTATAACTTCTTTTAAAATCCGCTACACAGACTTAACTAAAATGACACCTGTTTCTTTGTATAGTAAGGAATATGAACCTACCAGCATTAATAGGTCCATATGTATCATTCAGTCTGCCTGTGGTAAATTATTTTATAGCTGACAGTTGATGTTTCTCAACCATGGAAGCTACCTCTGAACTGTAGTAGCTGTCAGCGAAGATGTGTGGATTATGGTTGTATAAATGTTTTCTGTTGCATCCCCCCCATTGTAAATAAATATAGTTGTACATTGTCACCAAATAATTCACATTTAGTTTATACCAGTTGTGGGAGGATAAAGTACTGTATGTATACTGTCATTTTTGTAAACCAAACAACTATATAAATATTATTTGATTTATTTGAAGTATCACAATGGGTTTTGTTGATTTCAATGTTTCTAGACAATGTTTGGGATTTCCATTGGCAGATGGTTATATTTACAGCAAATTTCAAAGATGTATTTTTAGTTGGTTGGATTTCAAAATACTGAGTACCATGGCTACATGACTCGATATTCACACCTTTTCCCTGTAATCCCTTTTTTTCCACAGTAGGTGTCGCTAAAACCTCAATTAAAATCCACGCAGAGAAAAACAAAATCCAAACACCACCACGCTATTAATGTGACGCTGTTTAAGTTTTTTTTAAGATATTTTAATTTCATTATATATCTCACAAGGCTGAAAGTTCATGTTGCATTATGATATAAAATGGTGTTTTAGCCTTATTTTTGTGCTAATGTAGGAGTAGCCCTGTGACTGGTATCAAATCCAGAGTTTCACTCCCTGGCGCCCTCTGCTGCTTGAGAGGCTCTAAGCACCTTCTTGATCTGTTAGTGGATAAATTACTGGATGGATGGAAGGATGGAGTTATTTTCACAGGTTGTTCAAAATGCTAAAAGCCTTTAATTGCCGCTTCTTCCTACACTGCATTGTCTGGCTTCTGCGCCATTGTAGATACCTTAATGATAAATGTCTGATGTGTCTTTTTCCATCTATGAATTACAGCCTCAGTCAAAAAAACAGTAAAACTGAAAAACTGGTCCATGAATTCCATATACAGACGCTGATGTCGGGCTGCAGAAACATTTTACTATAGTAAGTTGGTACAGATTTCAGCTGCAACAGTTCTTACTAGGACTGACACAGCTGAACACATTAGTCCTGTAACTTAACACCCTAAGCAAGCTCATGAAATTTTGCAGAATATGCAAGCTGAGACTTGCATAAATGTCCTACGGATATGTGATGACACGGTACTTTTTATTAAACATTTAAAAACTTTTTTTGGCTTTACACAAATTTTCGGTATGAGACTGAATAAAAATGCCCTAAACAAAACAGACACCATTACTCTGTCATTTTGCATGATTAGTTGGGGTTTAAACACAGTTAGTTTCATGTATATGTTTCTAAAAGTATACATTTCTATACATGAATTTTTGTGCCATTGCTATGCTGCATTTTGTTTTGCCCCACAAACTATCAACGATGGCGAGGAAAAAAATCACAGTGTTGATAAATAATGGAATGAAATTGGGGACCTATCATTTTTACACTTTGGCAAAAAAAACAAAAAAAACAAGAACAAATATGAAATGTCAACTAAAAAAACTGGAATGTGCAGTTATTAAAAAAAGCTTTAAAACTAAAATGACCATTAAAATCCTGCATTAATTATTCATTTTAGGTAAAAATGATTATGCGTACGAACAGTGGATTCATCTTGGGTCCCACTAGCTGCTCTGGAGATGTTACCTCTGAAAACCTCTCCAGCTAAGTGATGTTCTGAATGACAGAGGAGCCGAAACCTTCCAACGAACAACTTCTGACAGAGGGTTATGGGTAACGCCTAGCTGTTAACGCGCCGTGCGGCTGGTGTCGTCGTCACGGAAACGCTAGGCGGGTGTGAGAGCGGCTCACTACTGGGTTTGTCCAGGCCTGTTCTTCTTCTCTTGCCAGTTCTTCTCCCTCAGGTTGAGCTCCGTGTCGGTGAAGGCTGCAGGCCCCCAGTTTGTGATCCTCTGGGGTCCCTTGGAGCCTAAGCAATCAGAGAGCGACACAGAGCATGAAACTGCATGGCCGTGGGGGGGGCGCCCTACCGCCGTGCTCCACACTGCCCCCTACCTGGCTGAATGAGGCGGATCAGCCCCTCTTGATGGGCCACCTTGTTCTTCCAGCTCTGCGTCTTAATCGTTGCATTCTCCAGCTTCTTCATCACCTCCTGTTACTCGCATGTTCATGAGGGTCATTATTAATCACATGCGGCACGTCTATCATTGCACTTACAGATTGACTTATTTTAATGCATCAAATGTGTGGAATCTTGCTGACAAATCATAGATTATCAATTAATAGAAAAATACCGAAAACCAAATTGATATATTGCCCAATATTAAGGTTCTGCAGGTTATAATCTATCGGCCAAAAACCTGCTGACGGAGCGCTAATAATGTCTCTCTAAATGTTTACGACGGGCGTTTACACTGAGGAAAGCACTCAGCGTCCCTGCTCAGTGGAAACAGGTGCATTTCACCCAAAGAACCCACAACGAAATATGCGACGTCTAAGGCTAGGAGGCAAACTCGCACGTCAATGATGAAACGCACACATAACATAAAAAGTCATAGATAAAATAAAGGAGGACTGTTTGTGATCGACTGGCAATTAAAATATGATCCATTTTAGCCATATAAAATGATAATACCTGATATGAACAGTTTTTGGAAATTTTAGCATCTGCCACAGAGACAAAATTTCCATTTTGGTCAAGCCGCACCAGACAGTTTGCATAAGCACAGGATGGAGTGCAGATTTTGCATTTCGTAAAGACTCAGAGAGTACAGAGATGCTTGAGGGAAAGGGGGCCCACCGGCTTCTGGGCAGGGAGGGAGGACGGCCTTCCTGCAGGCAGTCTGTGGACTAGCTAACAAGGCAGCTGTTTCTGACTCAGTACTGCTTACTTCCTTAAAAAAATAAGTTGGGCACCATGTCTACACACTATGCATGGCAAACTGTCTTTTAACCGTCGGCTTAGTCATTATCACTAGATTTCTACTAGTAAAAATAACATGCTAACTAATAAAAATGACATTTTTACTAGTTCAATAGATATCTTCAGTAAAACTGAATTATAGATATCTACAATGTGACATTTTACAAGTAAAATTTTATTTTGGACAAATGTGGCAAAAATCCAATGGAAATTCAATGTAAATATATAAATTGGGTTATAGATATCTATAACATGAATTTATACTAGTAACAGCACAGTTCTTACTAGTAAGATTAGTTAGACTATTACTTTTACTAGTTAAAATGAAGCTACGACAGCTGTGCCTCTGGTAAAAGGCGATCTGGTTTGGCAAACCACTTTCTTATACTGACTTGGAAATTTGGCTTTTAGTTCTACAATAATGCTATAATACCCTGTGATCCTGACCAAGAAAAGTGGTTTCAAGATTGATGGGTCCCACTTTACATAAGGCTCCCCTTTGCCACTTATAATTCAATTCAATTTATTTTTATATAGCGCCTTTCACAACAGGGTTGTCCCAAAGCGCTTTACAGGGTTGTGTTGTGATACATAAAACAGAAGTAGAGGGAGATACAGAATGGGGAAAAAAAGGGAAGAAAGAAATTGAATAAAGAAAGCCAGAAGACAATGGAGGTAGTAACTCATTAATAAGAAGAATACTGTGGTATAACTGGTTTATAATCGTTTGGTTATGATTTACAAAGTGTTACAACCTAATTAATAACCTGCTTATAAACCATTCATAATCCCTTTATAAGGGTAGTCTTATTGTGAAGTGGCACCCATTGATGGTTAATGCTATAATTAAATGTATGGAGCTTTAATTAGGTTAAATATTTTCTGATTTGCTAGTCAAAATTAAAATAATCGGCAGGCAATTACAGATCTTTTACAACAAGCATAAAGCAAAACCTGAAACAAATATTTCCACCGAGCAGGGATGCTGAAGCTTTCCTCAGTGTAAGCGCCCGTCATAAACACTCAGAAAGACATGATTAGCGCTCCGTCAGCAGGTTATCGACCGATAAATGATAAATTGGTATCATATTAATATACCTGATCCCTTACTCTATAAAGACTGCCTTCTGGGGAAAAACCTTGTTCCATCATGGCCAGCACCTCATGCCACCAGAACAGTATTCTCCCCATGGAAATCAAATTAGTTACCATGCAAACTAGTTCATTTCCAGAATTATAGATTCGATTAGATTAGATAGATAAAATAGATTAGATAGATTAGATAGATAGATAGATAGATAGATAGATAGATAGATAGATAGATAGATAGAGATCCTATTCTGATTCTGATTAAAAGCTATGGACAGCAACTGTAACGTCACGGCAATGGATCCCCCCACCTGGTACTGCTCCAGCGCCCCATGCCTCTCACTCTCCAGCTGCGACAGCTGCTCCATGGCGGCCTGAAGCGCGGCCTCCTTGGCGAGCCGCTCGTCCTGCAGCTGCTGCTTCTCCGACTGGGTCTGGGCGATGGCTCGCTGCTGCTGCAGGTGGATCTGCTCCAGTTCGGTGCGCTTTGTCGCCTCCTCCTCCAAGAGCCTGCGGGCGCCAACGGGCCAAGTGAGTGTGCAAGACGGTGCCCATTTTGTGTGTTCCAGCGGCGCGGGGCCTGGGTAACAGTCCAGAAATCAGCGGCGGTGGCAGAAGCTGCCTCCGCAGAGCCAAATCTGCTCAGGCATTTACAGGCTATTACAGCGTGTGATGTGCAAATTCAGCTGAGAAAGACGGCCAGATGAACAGACGGCTTACAGCTTCTTCTATAATATGGAACTAAGAAAATGTAGCCAAAATTAATTTCATTTGATATCAGATTCATCCATTTCCTCCTAGGTGAGGTCAGGAAGCATTGTCTGCAGTACACTGGGTGCATGGTGGGTATGACCTGGCCTGCAGCTTGCGCACAGCTTCCTCGTCCTGCCGGGCTTGCCTCTCGTCCTCCAACGCCTCTTCCAGGCGGTGGTACATGTCCTCTAGCTCGCGCACACGCTGCAGGTACTGCTCCAGCTCACTGGACTTCTGCGCCATCTGCTGCTCCATCTGCAGCCGTACCTGTGAACGAGTGGGCAGGGGTCAGGCAGTGGGCGGGGCAGGGGTCAGGCAGTGGGCGGGGCAGAGGGCAGGCAAGAGGGCAGGCAGTGGGTGGGGCAGAGGGCAGGCAGTGGGCGGGGCAGGGTGCAGGCAGTGGGCGGGGCAGGGGCAGGCAGTGGGCACAGAGGCAGCACCCACCATTTTCTCCCTCTCCAGGTCGGTCCTGTAGCGGTCCTGGAGCTCCCTCTGCGTGTGCAGCCGCATCCTCTCCTCCCGCACGGCTTTGGCTGCCGCCTCCTCCAGTTTCTGTTGGGAAATGCGGCGAGAAGGGGCTGGTAAGACGGAGAAGCCTTTCAGAGGCCCCACACCACGAGCCAGGGGGGTCACACTCACAAAAGAGCCTGTTCCTCCGCAGACTCAGGGAGCCCTCTGTCTCTCCAGACAGGAACATCGCACAGGTGCCAAATGCACACCAAGAACAAAGGAGAGGTCTGTTTTTAGAACCCTGTGGTCCCTCGCGCTTGAAAAACAGGCTCTGCGTTTTCTTTATGAAGCATGTGCTGTAAGTAAACTTACATATAGATTTGACTGGTTGTGACAAATTCAGCTAAATGACTGCAGCCATTTACAGAGGAGCATACATACTATAAAACTGTGGAGAAAAAATGGTAACAGGGTACCAATAGTGTTAAAACAGGAACTGAGAACTCTAATAACTGCAAATATGAATCCACAGAAAGCCTGCTGTATTTATTTTATAGTTCTCTGGAAACTTTGGGGATTTTCATTTGAGTGTTTGTCTTAAATCTCAGAGAAAATGCAGAGGTGTCAAAATGATTCACCTCCTGCATGCTGAGCAGTGCGACCCTTGAGCGTAACTTTAAGCATTTTCTGCTTCATTAATGGAGCATCAAGAGATGAAGTGTAAATGCAAGACTTCATTTGAAAAACACAAGGTGTGTCTGGTTTTCATTAGGGGAAGTGAAACTTTTACTTAAAAAAACACAATAAACACTCACTACTCTGTATTCATTCCCTGCACAGTTTACTGGGTAAACGGATCCCTGCGTAAACTAGCAGTTCTCAGAGAAAATGCCCCCCCAAAACTTCAGCTTTTTAATCTCTAAGGGCTTGGCAGGAAATGCTGTTGCATCAATTCTTTGTTAGAGCATGTGTTCCAGCGTTAGCACATATTACTTAGTGATTCTGATTCCTTCAGATTTCTCTGTGTTACACCACAAATTCTGATGCAGTCTACAGACCGACTAACTCTGCAAATTGTACTGAATTTTCTTCTTAACTATTATTGGTTATTTCCACTGATCACTATATCACTGCTTTGTTGTTACTGGTGATTTTTATATGCACACAGATAATCCTCATGACAATACTGCCAAAGCTGTTTCTGAACCGATCAACCCATCCCAGCGAGTAAACAAACATACTCATACTCAAGGGCATAAGAACATAAGAACGTAAGAAATTTACAAACGAGAGGAGGCCATTCGGCCCATCAAGCTCGTTT